GCTTAAAAAGTAGGGGGTAAGGCCTAATAAAATTTTAAGCAATGAGTATTTAAAAATTTTAGCGTACAAATATGTACACTTTACGGTTTAAGGGATAATAATAACATTGAAGAAAGTAAAAATAATTTAGATATTGTGCATATTTGTTATGATTGGGCGCAAAATATTTCCATACTATATTCACCACAACAAGTAGGTTCGCTTTATTTTAAATCCTCCTTTTCCATACATATTTTTGGTGTTTGTAAAACTAGCGAGCAAAATTATCAGTTAAATTTTTTAGTTGGTGAAAATGAATTTCCCGAAGGAGTTTCAAAAGGTGCTAACACTACACTAAATATGGTTTATTATTTTCTTCAAAAAAAAAATCCTAAAAAAAAAAAATTACGTGTTACTTGTGATAATTGTAGTGGCCAAAATAAAAATAATCTATCACTTTGGTTTTGGTCTTGGTTATGTTCGTTAAATTGGTATGAGGAAATCGTTGTTAATTTTATGCTTCCTGGTCATACAAAATTTATTTGTGACTCATTTTTTGGACAAATTAAAAAAGTTTATAAAGATAATTATATGAATATTATTGATAATGTTAAAAATATTGTGAACAATTCATCAAAGGGAAATGATGCAATACAATATAAAAATAGTAAAGGATGGGTTTGATACGATTTTAGTTCTTTTTTTAAAAATAACTTTACGTCTTTACCAAATATAAAACAATATCAACATTTTCGGTTTAATAGCTCAGAAATCGGAAAGGTTTATGCTTTAAAAAAATTGGGTGGAGAGGAAACTTCTTTTCAATTATTACATAATATCAAATTTGATAAAAATAGTAACTTAAATACTCTTTCCACCATATCATTATCAAATAACCGCAAAAAATATTTATATACAAAAATTCGTCAACACGTTGATGACCCATATAAAGATGCACTTTGTCCACAGCCCTAATATTAAATTTTTTTATTTTAAAGTGTTCAAGGAAGTTTATCAAAATAGTGATTTACAAAATTATATAATAAACTGGCCTACAAATTTTTTTAAATTAAAGAGTTACACAATGCATGATTAGTAATACTTTTATATATTGATAAAACTTCTTGTGGGAAAATTATATGTAACTTTTCACCTCTAAAAGTGCCACTTTCACTCTATTAACGATATGAAATCGTGAACATCTCCTAAGACCAAAGCTTGGTCTTGGTAAAACGGCCACCTATGTTGACTGTAGTAAGCCTGCTATTATAAGATTACTTCAAAAATTTCACCAAAATAAAGATTTAACTAACCAACCAAAGTTTGGTTGGCCCCGTTAGTTCAAGACAGAAAGATTGAATGGATGTTAGAAAGGCAACCTTATATAACTAGTGTTACAATAAAAAAAAAAACTTGAAGAACAAAGCATTAATATTAGCGAGAGCGCCGCCTTGTTGACGCTGGAGAAAGATTTATGAATGGAATAGTTAAACTACTCCTTGATGAAAAACAGAGGACAAAACATTTAGATTGGGCAATAAAGCATCAAAAATATAAGTGGGATAAAGTAATTTTTATAGATGAGAGTACTTTTAAACTATTATCAAAAAAAACTTGGCAGTTAATTGGAAAATGAAAAGTATTCTGAACAGTAAAGCATCCACAAAAGGTTCATGTCTGGGGTTGTTTTTCAACCTCAGGGTTTGGCAAACTAATAACCTTTACTAAGAATCTCAATGGTGATTTTATGTGTGAAATATATAAGAAGGGCCTTTTGCCTTTTGTGTGTAAGCTTTTTGGCGAAGAAAATGATGATTGGTACCTTCAAGAGGACAATAATCCAAAACATCATTCAATAGTAGCGAAAAAATGGAAGAAGGAAAACCATATTAAAGTACTCTTATGGCCAGCATATTCACCAGATCAAAATCCAATAGAGAACGTGTAGCGACTTCTAAAAATTAAAATACAAAAAAAAAAAATTAGGTTAGTTTGAGGATTGAGGCAGGAAATAGCAAAAGAGTGGTGCCAACTTTCCAAAGCGCTTGCTATAAATTTGGTTAAAAGTATAAATGATCGGGTTTTGGCATTAATTGAATCAAATAGAGATTATACTATGTATTAAATATTAGCGTTTACTCAATACTTTAAAATAAAAAAAATTATTGCTATTTATTTAAGTTTTGTATAATTGAGACTGGGTAACTTACTTTAACCGGTACTGTATATATCAATCGTTAAGTCACTTAATGATCTGTTCATGATTCTTGTATCAATCATTAAATCACTTAACGATCTGTTCATTAAGTTACTTAACGATTGATATATAAATCGTGAATAGATCGTTAAGTGACGTAAAAATTGTTCTAAGACGTTTGAAGGAGTTAATATAATAGACAACGAAAAATGTGTGATTAAAGTCCTAAAACTAATAAGAAAAAAAAGATTAAGCGAAAGATTAAGATTTTGCAAAATTCAGTTAGAGGGCTAAATATTATTTCGAACTAGTGAATATTACTAAGTAATCTTTTCTATATTTTTTTCTAAAACAGTTAAGCATAATTATAGTATAAGGACCTCCAGAAAGAAAATAAAAAAGCTCTATATCAGTATAAATCAGCGTCAAACAGATATGAGGCCTCTGTTAATAAAATTATGTAAACAGAAATCAGAAAATTACTAGCCCGGGTATCATTCTCTGCTGCAAAGCTTTAATCCTGTCTAAATCCGTTTGCTCTACACTATGAACAATCTTTAATTTAGTAAGTTTTTGGTCGTGTTTTTATTATATAGATAGTTTTATTTTTAATTAATTTTTAATAAGCAAACATCTATAATATAACGTTTAGTAGTTATTTAAATTTTATATATTATAAGAACAACTACCTTGATCTAAAAAATATCTAAAAAGATTTAAGTAAAATTATTTTTTCTAATCGAAATTCATAATTTTGATTGATTGATCTATACCCCGGCCTTAAAGTACCCCTAAAATCTGCAAAGATCAACGATCAGCATATCTAAAATCAGCAACAAATCAAATTTGGGTTGTTTTGGTTACACAACCCTTAATCGTTGTTTACTCAAAAAAATTTCTAATGCCCGTAGGGTCATTTTCAAGGCACAAACCCCATTTAGTAATCCCAATTTATCTAAAGAATCAAATATTTGAGTTGAGTTAACAACTTGACCACCAGTAAATGAAGAATAAGACAATAAAAGATTGGATACAATCCCACTAACGGCAACAGTTGTTACATTATTAAATTCAGCTACATGCTTAGCAATAAGAGCATATGAAGAACCACATACACCATTAGTTAAAATAATGTAATCTTCAGGTTTCCAAGGAAGAGATGTAGTTAAATTTTGAATATATTGTCTAATCACATTCAAATCAGAGTCACTTGCAATATATTTATTGGAATAATTCTTCATAACACCACCACGTGTGTAAACATTATTGCCAAAGAGGTCGTCAGCATTTGTAAAATTAGCATGAGTTTTTGAATTAATGGTGCCGCTTACATCGAAGATATTATTTAAGGTTTTAAGTTTAAATTGTTCAGTAATTACAAGTCTCATTTGTTTAGAAATTCGCATATCAGAGTCAAAAGTAGGATAATTATTAGGGAATAAAAATATACTGAAAAATAAGACGACAGATAAATATCCACCACCATTGTCAGATAAGTCAAGAACAACCTTAATAAATATATAAATATATGTGAATATACAATAATGGTATGTTGTAAGTTGAAATGGATTCGGAATTTATATAAAAACATTCAGGTAATTTATCATACGTACACCTTTAGTTGTTAGATGAACCCATGTAATACTAACCATTTTTCGGGTAATTTTATTATACGTACACACACCTTTAGTTGTTAGACGACCCATGTGATACTAAATGTCACATATCAAATCTTAATAAAAATTAGATTAAATTTTTAGGTCGATATTTTACGACAGATGATGTTTATCATCACATGGTTTCATCAACGTACGCACCCTTAGAAAATTCCAAATCCACTTAAATTCTATTCCCATTTACAACATATATAAAGAAATGAATATAAAATATATAAGAATATTAATTACCTTTTTAACACTTGTATTTGCTAGTTCTTTAAAACCTTGAATTATATTCATAAGCATGGTATTACTTATTTCTTCAGATATTATTTTAACGACACCAAAATCTTGTATTTTAAAAAAGCCAACAGATTCATCGACAATTCTTATTATAGTTACACTTTGATCTTGTTCTACTAAGCTATCAAATAATTTTGTACCTTCTTGAAGTTTAGAAGATACAGGTTGATTTTTTCCTTCTATAGGATTGCAAATATTATCAAAATAAGTTTTTGAATCATTAAACTTATTTAAAAGTATACGGCTAGTAATAGCATTCCATTTTCTTTTAACATTAAATTCATTAGTATTATTGCATTTAAGTGTGTAAGTAATATCTAGTTTATCTGGTATTTTAACTTGTGCAGCAAAACTTTCAGAGTTAGGATCAAGTGCTATATTAAATCGTATACCAGGATCTCTTGAGTGATAAATTGAATTGTTGGCATATTCAGAAATCACTTTGAATGCTTGTTGACCATCAATAAGAGTTACTTTGCAATTAACATTAGATTGGTCAATAGTGTCATTTAAAACTTTAATTTTCTAAAAAGAAAACTAATGTTAAAAGCATTATTAAGTAAGATTTAGAAAAATCAAAAACGTAAGTTACATGCTCTCCATTATTAATAACGGAGTAAAATGTCATGCCCGTATAAAAAATAAATGTTGTGAAACAATCTGAACTAAACATTGTATGCGCATCTTTTAAATCATAAAATAGATGTTGGACATCGCTCTATTATATATAAGATTATTATATAGAAATAGAATAATGAAACAGAATAATGAAACAGATATAAAATGATATTGAAAATAGTTACAGTAAACCCATATAAAGTTATATAAGTCTTATTTCGAAAAGGTTCTAATTCTGCTATCAAATTCATTGGTCTAAAGTCAAATCCAGACTTTGGAGGCTCTTTTGCTTTATCCAAAAATACATAAAATCCACCAATAATACTAGTTAAAGTATCTATCATCTGAAATTTCAACATAACACACACACATTATATATAAATTTATTTAAATTACAAACACTATATTTACCGTATAGTTCTGAAATTAAGCACCTTTTTTCTGTTATAAGAGGTGCTTATTTTCGGATATAATTTTAAAAATAAAAAATATAGGATTTTAGTACTAAGTAAACTTACCTTCTATTTTTAAGTAAATAACTTTATTTAGAAACAGAAATAGGTTTACTTAGTAAAAAAATCAGATACTATTATACATAAATACCTTAGAAGCAGTATTTTTATCAAACAGAAAGCTTTCATTGATATTGGCATACCTAAAATTAATTTTCTGCGTTGTAATAAATTCATTATATATTCTTGCGTATCCATCAGAAACAGATGCCTATCGTTGAATTATATAAGATTGAATATTCATGATCAAGACGAAAAAAAATATAAAAAATACTCCATAGAAATTCATATTGAATAATTGATTTCTAGATTAATAAAAAAATGATAGTTGCTTTTGATAAGGCATATTTATGTTTGATTGCACACACTACTAGAAATCTTTTTGTTTAGTATATTGTTTTTGTTTACAATTGCTAAAAATGTTCTATAGTCAAATCCGATAATCTGTATTGTCAATGAACAAAATTACTAGATAGAGTATAACAAAGACAATACATATGCGCAATTTAAAATTCTAAATTTGTTATTTGCTAATTTATATCAATTAAATTTTTAATTAGCATAAGTTTAAAATTTTGGCCGAATAAACTAAAAATCTTCTGCCTCAACCTCAATCACAACTACTCTTAAATAAATCAAATAATAGAAAAATCAAATTGTATTTTAAATCAAAATCTTTATTTTTATACGTTCAAAGAATAGTTCGTTTTCATGAACGGTGTGATGGTAAAAGTCAAACATTAGTAATTGTACGTGTCAAGGATACTAAAGAAATTCTTGGTGGATGTAATCCAATTAATTGGTATAAAGAAACAAAAACTTATCATCCTGCTTCAACAAGCTTTATATTTTCTTTAAATCTCCAAAATCTAAATAATTCAATAGTTAGTAAATCGGCACATGCAATTAATCAAAATAATACACCGATTAGGGATATTAAATTGCGAATCCAGTCTGGTCTGATCCTAGGATCTAAAATTTAAATTATATAAAAATACAATACATTTTATAGGACTTAGATTCTTAATCAGATCCTAAATTGAATCGTCGAATGAGTTCATCCAATCAAATTAATTTTGTATTGTTATAATATTTCAATTCAGAATCCAAGTCCTATAAAATGTATTGTGTTTTCATGAGATTTAAGGATCGAGTACTTACCGATCCTGCAGGTCCTTGTAAGGACCGGTTAGGATTCAGTCCCAAAAGACTGATTAACATCCCTAACACCAGTCCTTCTTTTGGAAAATATAATCATGTGTATTAATTTTGTTTATAGATTAATGTGAAAAATTTGAATTGTTAATGTTACAAATCAATTAACTTCGTGAAAAATATTCTATTGAAATGTTTATTATAAATATCAAACTTTCTCGAATAAGTAAATGACAGAAAGCGTTTCACTTATATTAAATATTACTTATTTCTTTTAGATCATTCATTAAAAATATCAGAAAAGTTTGTCTGTTGGTATTTTTTAGCTAGTTCAAGGATTTTCTCTGGTATAAGGTTACTCTCATTTCTATATGACATCATAGTTATCATAACATCGCAGGGGGTACTGATCGTTCTTGAATTTTTTGTAAGATATTATTTGGAAATTTTGCATTGGGAGTGATTTTCTGATACATTTTACTAATTTGGTAATGCGTACAATATTCAAGATTCAAATGTACGTCCATGCGACCAGGGCAGATATTAAAAATCAAAGTAGAATAAACTTGAATATAGATCCCAATTTTTTTTCCATCTCTGTTTTCAAATTAATGTGAATCCTATGAATCTAGTATATGTTTTAAATACAGCATTCACAGGATACACTCATTTAAAAACTAACAAGAAGATTCTGACTATATATATATTAAATGTTTTGATAATGAATACTAACCATGCAGGATCAAGATGTTCAATGTGATTAGTTGTCATAATTATAATAGTTCCCTCTGATAATATTTGTCTATCCAAGCATCCGAGAAAATTCGATAAACTAATAAATGAAAATAATTCTTTATATTTTGACAAATCTTCTTTTTTTTTTAGAACATCTTCAGAAATAAAGTTAAAATAATTTGGGATTCTATCCCTTTTATAAAGTATATTTGATTGTGTATCAACATCTTCAAGAACAATTATTTGGTTTGATGGAACAGAACTGAACACAGCGCTCATATAGTTATCATTTTTAATTTCTTTGAGATTAAAATAATAGAGGTCTCATGATAAATGAGATGATATGGCATTTATTAAACTTGTTTTTCCAGTCACTGGTTTACTATACAGAAGAAAGCCACGGCGATAGAGGACACCAATTCTTTTATAAAAATCTTTGTCATTAATAAAAGAGTCTAATTCTTTTTTCAGCAAAATTTCTTGTGGTTCAACTGTTTCCAAACTATTTAAGTCTGATAAATATTGAACTCTGTTCCAATGTCCATCATTATGTTTATATCGAGAACGTCTATAATATTTCTCTTTTGCTTTAAAATAAGAACACATAACCTCATTAATGAATTCAGTAATCGCATTAACATCAAGACTGGTATTTGGACTTGAGTCATTAATGATTAATAAATAAATAGAAGACATTGGATCAGGGACTTTGTAGTATGGTTGTGGAGGCAAAGAATTATTATTGTTGTTTTTGTCTGTTTCTTGCAGTTTGTACACAACGTTGAATTTATGACCTTTGTATTCTATAATTATTTGTTGTTTCTTTTCGGGTAGGATATTAAAATCTGGTACTTCATTTGGTCCATGATTTTTACTATTAGTAGGTTGAATAATAAATGAACCTTTAACTATTTCTTTGATTTGTTGTGAGATAACCTATAACAAAGCTTCATATAACGGATTTTTTTTATGAGTATTATAAATACCTAGAGATTTTATATTTGTGATTTTGAAACTATTAAATTATTTGAAGCTACTATGATTTATTGAAACCGTGCAGATTTATAACCAATCTTTAACATAATATTCAATTTGAACTATTAATGAATTTCTAAACTGAAACACCTGCAACAAGGTACATGACGCATAGAATAAGGTGATTATTGCAGTAGCCATTAAGGTAGTAATAAACATATCCACAGCGATTATTCCAGAAAAATATGGCTCGGGTTTTGACAGGAGCTATGCCAATAAAACTGCTTGTAATTGTTCACGAGAGAACAGATTAACAAAAAGTCTAAAAATATCTTTGAAGTCAGCCATTTGAAAATTTTAAAATCAAGTAGATATTTGGCCCGCTCAATATAAAAAATTGTGTGTTTTTTTTATAAAAATTATATCAGGTCACATACGTGTCTAACTTCAAGGTATTTAAGAGACATAAAAAAATGATAAAATTGGTTTTATTTTTTTAGCGAAAATTATCTTTTGGATTAGACCCAGTTAATTATTAAATTCTCAGATTGAATCAAATATTAAAAATATTTATAATTTTTTATATAAAAAAAAAAATTTTTAATTTTTATTAAAAATCATTAAATTCCAAGGTCAACAATTAACAGTTTTTTTATTTTATATTGTTATAGAACGAATTAATTATTAGTTTATTATTTTATTATTTATTATTTATTAATTATTATCTTAGAATA